CATACTTATGAGTTAATTACTGAGGGTGATTATTGTAATAACTGATAAAATTTGCTGAGAATTGAGGTAGACCAAGGCTAGATGCGAATAAATTGTCCTTTCTGTTTTGTGCAAAATAAATGGTGGGTGAAAAGAAGAACATGAACCCTGTTGAGTTAATATGAGATATAAAGTTGTTTGTGGTTCTTTCATAGGTTTTTTCTCTGTATAGATTTATTGTTGATTGTTATTTCATAAACTCTGAGATATTAAGAATGTAGCATGGTTAGCAAATGGATTCATTCTATATTTTTTCTCTAACTTTAATCACAATAATCTAAAAGTAGCTAACTCTTAGGAAACATTAATCAGATTCAGATCTAGTCCCGTCTGTAATCTAGAACTGTCCAAATTGCCTATTTGACTAATTCTTTAAGTGGGTTTAGGGTGGGTGCCAGTGACCTTAGATATTTTTTCAATTAGGTTGAGAGGGAAATTAGATACCATTCTAATTCTACATGTAATCATGTTTTGAGATGTAATTGGATATGAGGGAAAGGACTAGAATCTGTCCTATTCACCACTCTATGTCCAACCTTTGGTATTGGAGGAACTCAATAAATACTGATTGAATAAATGCATATGTACATAAATATTAACATAACTTGCTCATATTGTAGGACAATTTTCACAAAGATTCCAAGATACAACTATGTGGATCCTGATTTTGCATATACTGAATTTGAAAGAATAGAAAAGAAAGCACATGACAACTATTATGCAAGATACATTGAACATTCAAGAAACATGCGCCTACAGAAACAAGCGGAGAGGTAAAGTTCACTTCCTCAGAAAGTATGAAACAGTCCATGTTGCCTATGGAGCCTTTCTTTACTCTTCAGTTTCTTTCTTGTGATTTAAATGACTTTTTCATATATACAAATAGCAGAACATTAAACTAGTTTGACTACAGTTATTTCCTTTCTTCCTTTTGATTTGTGAATGTCTTGGGTAGGTTTCCCCAGAAGCAGATCCTGAGAGAGGGGTTTGAGCACGTGTGATTTTTGGAGAGTGTCCTTTTAGGAGAAACCTGTGCAAGATGAAGGAAACAGGATAGAGCAGGGGAAGGAACTGAGAAATGATGTGTTGCAACTAAAGCTTACACTCAGCCTGATTCCTAGGGTCTCTTGAACATAAATTATATCACATAGTTCCTGCCTTGAGCCAAGGGGGCTTGTTTTTTGTGTTCCTTCTCCGTCATTGATTATGAGCTGTGCCTGGTGGGGTGGGGTGGGCCTAACTCGTTGTGGAGGTGTTTGAGAATGCAGTCTCCTCAGCAGAGGGCGATTTTATGCAGATTAGTGCATCAGTCTGTTTAAATGGATCTGAGGGGGGCTCTGTAGCATGTGCCTTAGGGAATCTTTGGATTTGCTGATGAGTTTTCTAAAAGACTTGGCCTAATTTCATTATTATGACTTCATAAGGGCATACGTGTATTCATATAACGATACAGACATAGGAGTACAGCCAGGATCAGGTATGAAGTCACCTTCCCTCTCAGCAACAGAAATAGAAGAGGAGTTACCTTCAGCAATGTGTCAGATCAGACCTAACCAAATGCTAAGTACCACGAAGATGTCATCCAAGGAGACAGCATCTCTGAAAAGAAAGGCATGTGCAATATTTACATTTAATTATACCATGACAATTCAAATATCTTTTGCTAATATTGAACAGTTAATTTTGGACTAATGTGAGTTGATTTTTTTCATAGGTTCTCAAAGGACTTAAGTCAGGCCCATCCACACCCCATGAAAAACATGATTGTAGCTTAATTTTGACACCAAAGCAAATTCATCAAGTAATCATTGGTAAGAATTGGTAAAATCTACTAAAGTCTTTGTTTTTTTAACAGATTTATTGAAGTGTAATTTGTATTCCATAAGTTCACCAGTTTAAAGTATGCAAGTCAATCAGTTTTAGTAAATTCACAGGAATATGCAGCCGTCTCACACTTCAATTTTAGAGTGCTGTCATTGCCCTCATGAACATCTGCAGTCACTTCCTGTTCTCACTCTTAGCCCCAGGCAGCTGTTATTCAACTTTGTATCTTTGTAGATTTGCCTATTCTGAACATTTCATATAAAAAGAATGGTACAATATGTGGTCTCGCTTATATTTCTGCTTTTACTTAGCATGTTTTTGAGGTTCATCCATGTGGTAGTAGTTATAAATCTTCTGTTCCTTTTTATATCTGAATAGTATCTGATTTTTTGGGAATACCACATTTTGTTTATCTATTTACCAATTGATGAACATTGAGCTATGTTCAGTTTGAAGCTATTCTGAATAAGGTTGCTATAAACATTTACATTTAATTCTTTGAGTGAACATACATTTTCATTTCTTCTGGTTGGATTCCTAGGAGTGGAATTGCTGCTTTGTACTGTAAATTTACATCTAATTTTTGAAGAAACTCCCAAAAATTTTCCAGCATGACTGTACCAAGTTAAAACCCCATTAACAGTGTATGGGGGTTAAAATTTCTCCATATTCTCACCAGCAATTGTTTCTTTCTGTCTTTTTGATTGTAGCCTTCCTAGTGGGTGTGAAACATTTTCACTGTGGTTTGGATTTACATTTCCCTAGTAAGATGTTGAATATATTATCATGTATTCACTTAGATGTCTATTTAAATCATGTATCTTCTTTGGAGAAATGTCTTTAAAATTCTTTACCCAATTTTTAATTTGAACATTTGCCTTCTTATTACAGATTTGTAAGAGTTGTTTATATATTTTGGATATAAGTACTTTATCAGATTCAGATACATGATTTTCAAAAATATTTTCTGTAAGCCCATTTTTTCACTTTCTTAATAGTATTGTTTAAACCACAAAAGTTTTTTATTTAAATGAAATTGAATTTATCAAATTTTTTTCTTTTATAAGTCATGATTTAGATATCATGCGCAAGAAGTCTTTAGCTAACTCAAGATCATAGATATTTTCTTTTGTTCTAAAATTCGTGTAATTTTAGATCTTATATTTAGGACTATAGTTCCTTTTGAGTTAATGTTTGTTTATGGTTTGAGTTAAGAACCTAAATTCATATTGTTTTATGTGGATATTCAGTTGTCCCAGCATCATTGCTGAAAATATTATTATTCCTCATTGAATTGCCTTGGCACCTTTGTAGAAAATCAATTGACCATATATGTCAGGATTTATTTCTGGTCTCTCAATTCTGTTCTGTTGATCTGTACGTCTGTCCTTAAAACAGTTCTACAATCTCTTTGACACTGTAGTTTTATAGTAACTTTTGAAATCAGTAAGTGTAAATCCTCCTAATTTGCTCTTCTTTTTTTTTTTTTTAAAGAAATTTATTTTTTTAAAACTGCATTTTTTTTTTTCTGTGAAACTACAAGTTTACAAGTGAGGAGAGAATTGCCCCTGGCCCATGCCTCCCACCCACTACCCATCACATTCCCAACCTGCCCCCCAGTCGTGCTTGGGTCTTTGATGAGAGGGGTTCCACACTATGACAGTCTTTATAAAATCCTGAGGATGTTTGAGGGGTTCAGATGGTCAGGTTCAGGGCCAAGGATGAGACAGTGATGGTTTTACTCTCTCTCACACCTGGCTTTTTGCAACCTCCCTCCTCTTCCAGCCCTCTTAATTTTGAACTGAGGGGGAAGAAAAAGACATCTCCTTTCTGGGGAAATTGAGGGAGATACATACACAAGCACCCCAACCCATATTTAACCTATTTAGCAACAACCCCACCCATTCTTCCCCCCCAACCTGCAAATAGTAGTTTTAATAAAAAGATTTAAAAGACATGTCACTCACAGAGGAAGGTGGCATTTTCCTCAAAATAGTACTAAGTTCAGCCCTGCCCAAGGGATGTGAGAAGAGGGGGGATAGGCCAGCAGAGCAAAGCCCCTGACTGCCTCCCTACCAGGTGCAGCAGCAAGATGCCTAGAGAAGCAAAGAATGTCTAAGTGGTTTTCTGGGGACAGGCCTGGTGCCCTGCTAAATGTACTTCCTGATGGACAGGACTGGAACCAGGTGGGCCTCTCCCCAGTTCTGTTTGCTCTTTCTCTTAGCATGACCCCTTTGACTATCACCCCTAATATGGGAAAGCAAGAAATTAAGGAACCTAAATCAACGTTTTTATAAAAACATCTACTTCCCCAAACTAAATAAAAAATTAAGGACCAACAACAGCCACAAAAAAAAAAAAAAAATAGAAAAAATACAGATGGATCCCAGGGTTATTTTTTTTTCTTAGAAAGAAAAAAACGTTCCACCCGAAATGGCCCAGTCAGTCAACAATTCCCTAAAGTAGCAGAAACTCCTTCCGAGGTAGATTTCTGAGTCAGACACTCTTGTCCACCGAGCAATTCCGTTGATTTAAGATGAGCTTCGTGTGAGGCAATAGAACCGTCTGGAGGGGGTGGGGAGGCACAGGGGGTGTGACCAGTGTCCTCTGTCCAGAAGTTGTGTCACCATTTTTGGCATCTCTGGGCAGGGTGCGTATCTCCACAGACCCTAGAGCAGATAAGTGGGGTGAGGGAGGGAGAGTGGGGAGCCCATAGAGAGAGAGAGAGAGACAGAGACAGGCAGAATAGCTGTATGTATATGTGAGAAAGAATAGAGAGAAAGGGATCTGAAAAACAGGATTCTGGGTTTGTGTATTTCTGTGTAAGAAGAGAAAGGGGGAGAGGAAAAAAAGACTGAAAAGGAAAAAGGGGAAGACAGACTCCACTCTCCCCTTAGGGGGTCCCATTCTCCCTGCCATGTAGTCAGCACTCCCAGCACTGAGAGAGTCTGGCCGGGGAGGGAGTGACCCCATTCGGCCTTCTCTGTCTTGCGCTTCTCCTTTGGGATTTGTCCTCTGGATGCCTGTGTCCTCTTAAAAAGTTGCTTTGTGAGCCCCCACCCCTGTGGCCCTGAGGGCCGAGATCAGTTGGAAGTGTCAGAGTGAACGCTCCCTGGTCCTTCTGTTGGGGATGTCACCGAGGATGGGGTCACAGCCTCCTGCCAGCCACCATTCGCCCTTGTTTCCAGAGGACTGTACATCTGGCTTCCTCTGAGGTTATCCCCATAGCCCCCCGGCCCCACTGAGTGTCGGAGTGATTCCACCTGGGAAGCAGAATAGGAATCTCCGTTGAGTCCAGGCATCCCCAGAACATGTCTCCGGATCCTGAGAGATTGAAAGAGCTGCCAGAGCCTGCGGAGGAAGGGGGTGTTGGGGAGCTGGTGTGGCTGCAGCCCCCCGGGGTAACTGACAGCAGTCTTGACAGCATAGATGTTTGCCTCCTCTTGGAAGTTCCCAATATTTTTCTTACAGCAAATCTGCTTGTTGCCAAACCAGTTGGAGACCTTAGAGACGGTGATTCCACACTTCTTGGCAAGCTCCTCCTTAGCCTCCTCACTAGGATATGGGTTACTCAGGTGGGAGTAGAAATACTGTCTTTTCTAGTTTTTTGAGGTAGAAGCTTATATTGTAGATTTAGACCCTCCTTTTTTTTCTAATGTGATCATTCAGTGCTCTGTATTTCTCACTAAGCCGTAATTTAGCTACGTCCCACCTATTCTTATGTATTTTTACTTTCTTTCGGTTTAATGTATTATCTGATTTTCCTTGAAACATTCTGTTTGGCTCATGAGTTATGTAGAAGTGTGTTATCTAAATTCTAAGACTTTTTTTTCTGTTAATTGATTTCTACTTTGATCCCTTTTGGTATACACATGTATGACTTCAGTTCTTTAACATTTTTGAAGATTTGTTAAGTCTGATCCTGGATGTGGTCTCTCTTGTTGGCAGTTCATATTACTTGGAAAGAAGTTGTATTCTGCTATTGTTAGATGGAGTATTCTTTAATGTCAGTTAGATCCCAGTTAGTTAATGGTGTTACTTATTTCTACTAAATCTTTACTGTTTTCTGTCTAGATAGTCTCTCAGTTGTTGACAAATGTGAATGAGGTCCCAAACTATACTTGTAGATTTTCTTATTTATCCTATGAATGGTCAGTTTTGTTTCATTTATTTTGAAGCCCCATTGTTTGGTATATACACTTTTAAGACTATTATGTCTTCTTGGCCAAGATTATTATGTCTTCTTTGTCTCATTTATCACTGTGTAATGTCCCTCTTTGTCCCTGGTCATTTTCTTTGCTGTGAAATGTTCTTTGTCTGGCATCGATATAGCTATTACAACTTCCTTTTGTTTAGTCACTGAATTGTATATCTTTTTACTTTGTTCTTACTTTTGACTTACTGTCTTATTACATTTGATGTAAGTTTCCCATGGACAGAATATAGTAGTTTTTTAATCCATTCTGACAATCTCTTTTTTAATTGGTGTGTTTGTATCATTTATATGTGATGTAAATATTGATATGTCAGGATCTTGGAATAGCATTCAAGATCTTTTCTTTGTCTTTATAAACTTTCAAAAGTTATTCTTTAGTTCTTAAAAGTTTTCAAAACTCTGGGTTTGTTTTTTTTTATGTTTATCCTCTTGAATTTCACTGAGCGTCTAGAATCTGAAGGTTTACATTTTATGCTAAATTTGGACATTTTCCAGCCATTATTTCTTCAAATATTTTTCCAGCTCCCCACCACCACCTTTAACCTCTCATTCTAGAACTCCAATTACATGAATTTTAGACCTTTTGCTTTGTTCCACAGGTCTCAGACTCTCTTAATTTTTGTACGATCTGTTTTTCCCAGATTGGATAAATTCTGCTGATACTTCTTCAGGTTCACCAACTTTGTTCTTCTGTCATCTCATTCTATTTTCTATTAGTTTTCTATTATATTTGCTGTATTTTTAAATTTTAAGGTTTCCATTTAGTTCTTCTTTGAATATTCTATTTCTTTGCTGAAATTCTTTTTTCCATTTATTTCAAGAGTATTCGTAATTGCTTTTTCTATCATTTTTATAATAGCTTCCTTTAAAACTCCTGTCAAGTAATCCCAACATCTGTGTCATCTCAGTCTTGGTGTCTTTGAGCTTTTTCTGATTCTTGGTATGAAGAGTAATTTTGGTTTATACCCTTGACATTTTGAGTACTATGTTATGAGATTGTGCTATAGTACAAATGTCTATTTTGTTGCTGCTTTTGTAGTACAGGGTAGCTTTGGTGAGCAGGTCTTCATCTCATGGACTGTGAAGGGCCAAGTGAGGAGTGAAGGGAATGTTATGACTGCTTCTGTTAGTGTAGGGTGGTGGTAGTCAATAGAACTCCATCCTACAGTCTCATAAGTGCCTGGTCCAAAGCAAGAGGGGCACTGCCTCTTGTTAGTCTTAGTGCAGGGCAGGGATGGTTGACAGGCCTTCATTCCATTGTCTTTTCAGCACCTGGTGTTGAGGGGGTCACCTTCTTTCATGGTGTTTGCCTGTAACAGGGAAGGTATAGTCAAAAGGGTTTGGTCCTATAAGGTCATCCTCTTCTCAGATCTTGGGGTAGAGAGCATGGGTTGCAGGCTGCTCTAGTTCCCAGGCTAAGATAATAACCCAGAGAAATTCATCACAGTTTCATCCCTCTATTTCTGAAGTCCCTAGGCAGTCCATTTTTTTTCTTCCTTTTTGAAGGGTTCTGATAGTTACTTTAAAGATTTTGTCAACATTTTTATTTGTAATTAGAGGAATACAATGGATTGTGTATACTCAGTTTGTCTGGAAATAAACTTGAACTATGAAAGAGATGTATCACTCTAAACTCTTCTGTAGTTAGTAAATACATTGCTATTCTTTTTTGTAAGGGGCTGGAAAACAGCAGCACAGATAATTGTGGCTTAATAGCTTTATCATGATGAAAGAGGCATAAAAACTAAAATGCAATGGCCAAGATTTCATCATGGATAATGGTCAGGCAGGCGGGAAAGAGTGTTCTTACTCAAACCAGACTGCTCCTCTCTCCAGATTCTATCCTTTTTGGGGAGGGAGGTCACCAACACCAAAAGCAGCGCTTTGGCCAGGGATTCAGAATGTCAGGACATCTTGCTATGCTTTGTGTTTCCTCATACTTAGTTCCTGTTTTGTTGTGCTGAGTCTGTCTGCATTTACCCTGTGGAGACCAGAAATGAATGTTTGAACCTGACTCCAGCTTTCTCCCTTTACAGTGGTTTTTGAGTCACCATGCTCTATAACATGTTCATCAGACCCATCTGACCACCATGTCTGGCCCCAGATTCTGGATTCTCAGTCTGAGGTCTCCATTGTTCAGATAGGGAACAAAGATCCTTCTAAGCATATGGCAAGTAATATTCATTATAACAGGCCCTAATGCATTCATAAAGTTTAACTTATCAACTCAGTTTAAGAAGGCAAGGCAACTTCAACTTCTGTCCAAGTTGGAGTAACAAGGCCCAAATTCACGCATCTGTCTAAAACAACCAAAAACAACAGACAAAATGTATATAAGATAAGCACTTTCAAGACACTGGGTATTAGGCAATGAGGGTGATAGCTGACAGGAAAAAAAATCTAGTAAGCCTTACCCAGGTTTATTGCTGTCAGAGAATTTCTGGTCCACTGCACAGAGAGATGGAACCTGGAAGAACCTGATAGAATTCCTCAGATGAGGATACTTGTTTGAGAACCAGAACTCATGGGAAGAGAGTATAGGATAGGAAAGAGCTGTGTGCAAAGAGAACTCGTGTTCTGCCAAGGTTCCCCTCATTTATTCTGAAAAAATGCTGGTCTGCTCATGGGTGTGAGGAAAACTAAAGTGAGGGAAAAAAAAGCATTAAAAAGGACTATAAAATCATACAGTAATCATACAGGCATCATAATAGTGAATGAAAATACCCAGGCAGACCAGAAAAAAAACCCTCTTAACTCCTACGGCATTGGAGCAGAGTATTTAGGAAGTTCTTACCTCAGTAGTAAAAAATGATTACTATTCAGAGCACTACTGTGGACCTGGGTAACTTTTATAAAGGCAAGACCTGGAAGGATCGATCTTTTTCAAAGTAACTTCCTCCTGGAACATAGCTCAAGAATACTCATAGGAATATGAAAAATATCCAGCACTTAATGAGATAATATTTACACTATCTGATATCCAAACATAGATTACTAGGCATAAAAAGGGAGGAAAACACAACTCATTACAAGGAGAACAGTTGATCAATTAAACCTAATCAACAGGGATATATATTTGTTAGAAGTATCCAACAAGGACATTGAAACAGTTGTTGCAACTGTATTCTTTATATTCAAAAAGTTATGCAGAGACATAGAAGATGTAAAAATGATCCATATGCTCTACAGATTCAACACAGTTCTAATCAAAATCACATCAAGATTTTTTTTTTTTTTTTTAGGAGAGCAAGGTAGTCTTTTATTTAGAGATAAAGTGAAAGGACAGAGCTCCCGGCTCATGCCAGGAGGGGACAAGAGAGTCCCCCATCAAGATCTTTTGTACAAATTGACAGGTCCATTTTAAAACTCAGATAAAGGCACAAAGTAATTACAGTAGTCAAAACAATTTTGAAAAAGAAAAACAAGTTGGAGATAAAACATCACCTGATTTCAAGACTTACAAAGTTACAGCAATCAAAAAAATAGTGTGGTATTGCCATAAATATAGACACATAGATCAATGAAACCTAAGTGAGGGTTTAGGAATAGGCCTGCACATACTGGACAACTGAATTTTGACAAAGGTACAAAGATAATGCAGTGCAGAAAGGATTGTTTTCAGTAATTAGCACTGGTGCATATGAACCACATAACAAAAAGAAAAAGAAAAGCGGAGTTTGTAGCCATACATTCTATTATGTGCCAAAAGTAAATCAAAATAAATCATAAGCTACATGCTTCCTGCCTTGCAGAAGGAAGCATAGGACAAAATATCTGTGACAATAGGGAAAGCAAAAAGCTCTTAGATATGACCCAAAAAATATGATCCATAAAAGAACGAATGGATAAATTGGAATTGATCAAATTTAAAAGCTTATTCAAAAGCAGCTGAAAAGAGGATAAAAGGAAGCCATAGGAGAAAATATTTGCAAATTACCTATCTGATGAGAGAATTGCAACCAGAGTGTATATAAAACTTTTGAGACAGACTCAATTTTAAGAAAACAACCCAATTAAAAAATAGACAAAAGAGTTGAGCAGATACTTCATCAATAAAAATATACAAATGACAAATAAATACACGGAGAGATGTACAACATCGTTATTTGTTAGGGAAACACAAAACCACCAGGAGGTACAACTATACAACTACAAATCTATTAGAATGTCAAAAGTTCAAAAAAAACAAACCCCGAACTCATCATTTGAATTGATGCCAAAGATGAGGGGTAACTGGGACTCTTGTACATTGCTAGTGGAATGGGAAATTTTACCACCATTTGAGAACAGTTTGGAAGTTTCTTATACATTTAAACATGCATCTACCATATGATCCATC